TTTCTTTCTTTTCTTAATAATTCGGCGGCTGCTTTTCTCTATTTTTTATTATATCAGCAGTACCGTTTAGTTCATTCTACGTTTTATTTGGAGCTATGTTATTTAAAATTGCGGTGCTAAACAGAAACTCCCACAACACTACTCAACTCACATTCTTTGAATGTATTAAACGTTATCTCAACTCACAGTCACATAACTCTATTTGCCGTCATCTCCGCTGTGTTTATAATATATAATATATTCCTCTTCCCTCTTCGTAACCCGGATTAAACAACAATGTTCAGTTTCATATCTTTTTGTGGAATGAGGTGCATTAAACTGAAAAAGTAAGTATCATACAATTGACTTATCAATTTTAATAGATTTTGAACCAATTATTTTGTGAAAAGTTTACATTAAGTTTGACAGATGGGATGCATGTGAATTTCCTCAAAATTGTTACAACGTAGCTTGAGCGCCGCTCATGGTCAGTTTATTATAAATAGACAACGGTTTCTGGTGCACAATAAAACGATCAAATGGTATAATTAAAATGATTAAAAACAAAATCGAAACAGTTTTAACTCGAGTACTGGACGTGACAGGTGTGCCAAACCTGAAAATTTGTAAACATTTAAAAAGTAATCTATGCGGTCCTGCATTGTATTTATGCCTATGGGATAATTAAAATGCAAAAAGATATTAACTTCGAGATTTCGTGATATATCAACTTTTTATACAAAACATGCAGCACGTAATATCTTGGAGTGCAAATATAAATAATATAAGTTTTTAACTTTACAAATTGGTAAACAAATTATTAAGATAAAAACACTTTTTTTCTCGTCGTTAATAACAACAGTGCGATAATTTTCGATAATGTACATAATTATGCACTGAATGTATATTATTATATAATTATATTGTATACAGTGATCAACCTTTGATTAACATTTAACACCATGGTTCTATCGCAATTTCGGGTTGGATCATAGATTAATTATAAAGTTATTAGTAGTGTTGACTGTTGAAAGCATTAAAACCCTAATGCATTTTATAGTCATAATGGTTGTTTTTGATCCCATACTAATGCTATTAATGTTTTTGCATTTTATTTCGTTAATTTAAAACAGTCCTCCAGCTAAAACGACAAAATATAAATATATTAAGTTACAGTAGTTCGGGATCGATTAAGTACCTTACGGAAATTAATTGGACGCTGGAGGCCCTAGAGTTCATTTTAAATGTTGAAATAAAGTCTGTCCGTTGAATTTTTTCCCCAAAAGTATTCCACTACAAACTTTTTTTCCAGGATATGAATAATTTTTAATTTCGGTCAAATTCAATTTATATAATCGGACTAAATTATATCAAACAACTGCTTTTCTTGCCTTGAACAAATTTCAAATTTTTAATGCTTTGGCTGCATCCGAGATTTCAATTTCAATGCCCGTTCAAAATTCTGTCCGTTCACGTGATGTCCTTTCCAATAACGTCCGGTAAGCTAGAGAGAGATATAATCTGAATAGTGTTAGTTCTGGGGACCTTTCCAATAACGTCCGGTAAGCTAGAGAGAGATATAATCTGAATAGTGTTAGTTCTGGGGACCTTTCCAATAACGTCCGGTAAGCTAGAGAGAGAGATATAATCTGAATAGTGTTAGTTCTGGGGACGAGTTGTGAGACGTGGTCGTTTCGTCGCTTCGTGCATTATCATGCTTTCTTCGCTCGAGGAAGTTTTTAACTAGTAGTAACTAGTAGTACTATCGGCATAAAGTCTCCAGGGCGAACCTCTTCTATCAAGGGTTCGCATTAAGTGTCCAGGGTGAACATCGTCCATCAAGGGGTCGCGACATCCATTTCAATTGATGGTGTTGTTCCTGCGGTTGCTTGATCGAAGCGGGTCAATTTGAGAGTATAGCCTGTAAAAGAAATGACCCATCCAAAGAATTCAAAATATTTTTGTGCCTTGAAGGACAAAAATAAATAGTATATGAAGGAATCTTCCATGATTTCTTCAGGTGGAAGGAATTCTTTGACGTCACTTTCTTCTAAGAAAAAGCCTGTGTGATCTTGTATTAGCTCACAAAATGTGTTATTGTACACGAAGTCCTTCAGCAAGGGGGGACAAATGACCCAGAACGCTTGTCCAGCCTGAGTGGAAAGTTCCTCAGGTGCCAATAAAACCCATGTAAGGTCGTCTACCAAAAGCTCTTTGATAAATTCACACGTTTTTGGTGATTCCAGCATGAGTTTTAGTTTGCCTGCTTTGAGATCAGCGTCCTTAGATGCATTCCATACATTTATCATGAGCTCACCTTTTCTCGCTTTCTGCAAAAATACCCTCAAAAGTTTTAGTTCGATGTTGTCCGCTTCCGCTTGAGATATTGGCTTGAAGTCTCTTTTGTGAAGCCAGCACGAGTAACTGTTCTGGAGTGAGACTTGGACCTCTGGGGGCACAGGTTCTATCGATTTGTTGAGCAGGGAGTCTGAGACAGAAGTTGTGTTGTCCGTTATAGTTGATGGTCCTAAACCAGTTATGTTATCATTGGCGGCTATCTGTTCAGTCATTGCGCTTGTTTCAAGTTCATCTGGGTTGTTAAGAGCAGATTCATTGACATGTATAATGACAATATTTGGTTTTGCAGTGGATTCTGTAGTTAGAATGTCGTCAAAGATTTCATAAACAAGATCGTCTGGTGCTTCAGACGATTCTTTCTGATGGTCCAAATTGTGTTCGTCAAGGCTGCAATATATCCTGTCCTCGTCTTCAACTGGATCGTTCTTTTTACTAGAAACTTCAACTTCTAGAGGGCTCAAGCTTAGCGAATGCATTTGAACGTCAGTAGAACGGCTCACAGACTCCGTATTTTCATTCGCACTTGTTGACTTAGTATTCAGCAAATGGTTCGAAAATGCAAGCGGAGCACTTTTATCCTTTCGCCTATCTGAAATTTGTTTAATCATTTCACTTTCCGTCTCCAGGAATTGGTAAATTAATAATTCATTAACATTTCATTTTCTTAACTGCTCCTGGCAGAGAACAAGCATATAATATCATTAATAACAAACATGAAAAATGGTAATAATATTAATCAGAATGGAATCATAAAGTGTCTCCACCTTTGTCGCCGGTGCTTAAACCAGAATTTGACAGCACAGGAGCGTTCCTTTTGTATTGTTTGAATTTTAGTTTCCAGAATTTTTCGGTTTCTGAATCCAGCAAAACGTTAATCAGGAATATGAATAAACCCTGGAGTAAAGATTTGATTAAAATAAATATGCTGAGATGCAATGTGAAAGCTGTAATGTGAATGAATAATGGCAAAAAAATCTTGTTTACTTGATAAAGGCCAAAAGTACCATACACTCACTTTCAGTGCAGCACTCAAAGTGTCGAAACATTTAAAAACGTTGATTAAAAATTGTTTAAACTAACGGTTCAAACTTCAAATAAACACTATACTGTGCTGTTAATTACTGCTAAACCAATTTTATTTTTATAACTTCACTTGATTTTGTAATATTTTTTTTTGGAATTATAGTAGTTGTTCTCTTACTTGAGGAGCGTTGAAAAAAATAAAAAGCCACCTTAAGACAAGGCTGATTTTACCATAGTTCGAATCATTCATCAAAAGGAAAAATCCAATGATCCAACTCAAGCCGAGCATTATTGACACAGCGAGAGCTGACCGAAGCTGCCTCTGAAAATAAATGATTGATAATCTTTATTAGGCGGTGCACGATAAAAATAAACTTGCTCGGATTTTCAAAATTTTTGTACCATCGTTTTCTAGAGACTGTGAGAAATTTCACAGTACCAAATTTATCATACCTTTTCTGAATGATCAGTGAGTTTCGCCTAGGTGCCATATTTGATGGTGCGCGGCTTTTGGAGCAAAATTAGGTGTAAAAGTCGCGTAATTTGACGAAATTCGGTGATTTTTGTCATATTATTCTGTCATATCTTCGGTTCCTGAACATGAATCATGCTGAAAATTTGTCAGAACCTTTCAATCATACTTAACTACCGAACTTAATTTAGTTGGAAGAGATTGGCCTTGATTAAGAGGTCTAAAAATGACAAAATAGGTATAAATTCTTTGATAACTCAAATTCTGAGCATCGAAATCGCTCAAACTAAATTAGGTTCAGTAGAACATAAGTGTTTACGTAAGCTGGCCAAGTTTCAACAAAATTGTTATATGGGAAGTATTATAACTTTTCGATTGTTTCCAAAATAATGTGCTGGCATGGCCATGGCCGAAATAAGAGCTAAAAAACATTCAATGGTCAGCGCGCGCGTCTTATTGTCAATGGCGCACTGCCTATCTTTATCAAATGATCTATAAATCGAAAAACTTTCAAATAAACATTCAAAATTTAATACACTATGAATATCGTATAGAATGATATTTTTACTTCATATATTTGCATTCCGCATGTGCCAGCTCATTAAAATAATAATCTGGGCAACAAAAGATTCAGTAAATCGTTTTTTCAAAATGACTTAAAACCTATCAAAACCCGACCAAATTATTTAATAATTTGGCCTCAAGAACAGACAGTCATACGGAAAGATTATAGTTTTTTGTGCTAGACTGAGATGTTTATATTTATTTTCTCGATCTCGAAAATATTCTTTTTATTTTCAGTGTCGATTTTTTCAGTCATTCCTATAACTAGGTAGTGCGCCATCGACAGTGAGCTGCGCGTGCCGACTGTAGGATGGTTTTTTTGCGCTAATTTCGGCCAGCACAATTTTCTTCAAACAAATAGATATTGAGTATCTTTCAGCTTCCCGACCTCCAATTGCAACCAAAATTGGTAAGCTTACTCATAGACTTACAAGGAAAGTGCCCGAAAAATGTAAAGCATATCGAACCATCAGACATTATGTTACAGCTAAAAGCAGGGTATTTTGCCCCATTTTGATCACTATATCAACTCCGATATCCACCAAATTTTTCAGACAGTTGTGAAAGTCCTATAGGAAGGTCGTCGCCAATTTTCAGAATGATCTCATTTAAGGAACTGAAAATATATCCGAATAATACGACAAAAATCAACGAATTTGGTCAAATTACGCGACTTTACAGCTACTTTTGCTTCAAAAGCCGCGCACCATCAAATATGGCACCTAGGCGAAACTCACTGATCTTTCCAAAAAGGTATGACAAATTTGGTATTGTGAAAATTCTCACAGTCTCTAGAAAATAGTGGTACAAAAAATTTTAAAATCCGAGCAAGTTTATTTTTATCGTGCACCCCCTACTATAACTACGGTTGCAACAGACAACAGTCAACAACAAATTTATAAATAGATCAAAGTTAATTTACTAAATTTTAAAACTTACGATTCTCAGTTTGGTGTTTGAATCGCCAGTTTGTTGAGCCTTAGTCTTGGTTGCTATCAAAATAACACGTGCAATGAAGATGAACATAATCCAGTTGGAAGCTACTCCTAACACGACAGGTCCATAGAAACTAACTAGTCCGTAAGGGTACTTGATGAAGCATCTGGAAATAATATAGTTACGTTCAATATGTAAAATATTATATTCTTTACTTTAAATTAAGTTTATAAGTGAGTGAATAACATATTTCGGAAACGTATCAGTGTCACTAAAAAAAATGTCGGAAGTTATGTAAAAAATATTTTATGATCACTAATCATTAAATATTTTTTAATTACAAGAGTATAATAGTATGTCACACCTATTTAACTGTTACGTTTGAGTAGTCGTGCCATGGCTAAATCTAACTATGACAAGTGGTGTCGATTAACATTTAATAGGTGACACAAATGGAAAATTTTAAGAAAAGACGGATCAAAACACAGATCCAAGGACAAGGAGACCCCACTTAGTAGAGGCTCTTACGGGCATTGTCTGCTTGATACGCTAGGGACCCCAGATACACCTTAATAGACGTATTTTTGACCGTAGAATCGATTAAAAGTGGTTTTAAGATGATTGGACTGACTTTTTGGGGGTAAAATCGCAAAAAACCGATTTTTGGGCAAAAAATAGGCCAAAAAACCATGTTTTTTGATATTTTGAACAAGTTAATTTTGTTGGCATGTCGGCAAAACTTGCATGGAGATAGCTAAAACACAGCTGCACAAGATGGTTTAAAAATTTGAAAAATCCCTCTATTTTTTTGGGGGTAAAAATCCAAAAAAGTGGTAAAAATTTTGACTTTTTTGCTTGAAGTTTGAATAATTTTTTGCAGTTGTATTAAATCAACCCAAAATTAGTCACATCGTGTTTGCCTAAATTTTTCCTTTCCGAGAAGTACCCACTTCATATACTTTATCGAAGTTTCAATATTGTCACTCCGCAAGCGTTTTTGCCAAATTTTCGACGCGCACTACGCGCAAAAGCATTTAGTTGTTATCAATTGGCATCCGCGCGTTCATCAAAAATTTCAAACAGCTATAACTCAGCGAGATTATGTCCGTTCTAGCTCATATTTTCACACCAAATAGAAAACAATGTGATCTTATTGCTGACAAAATATGAATATAATTACTTTATTTGCCTTAGAGTAATAGACTGTCGAAGTTTAAAACGCGCATTGGTATAGCACGTGACTAATAAGGCCAAATTTATACTTCTTAACATATTATCGATCCTTAGACATCATACTATTGTGTCCAATTAGCGGTTAGGTCTCTAAACTCGTAGCAGAAAACACGTCTTTTTGCCCGTAAGAGCCTCTACTAACTGTAGGACCATACATGCTATTGGCTTGTGCATGGCCCAAAAGGTTCCAGTTGTCCAGGAAACTGTACCCAGCTGGTCAACTAGTTTTGAATTCAGACTAGGCTTGATGAGTTCTGGGGTTTCTAGAGGTAAGATTTGATGGTGCCAGGTTTGTTCAGGCGGACATGGAAATTATGCGATGAATATATAGGTATATAAAAATCATATCAATATAAAAATAGATCCAAAAATAGATAAAAGATTCACACGGCAGTCAGGAAACTTCCAGACAGGATGCTTTTGAAACAGGTATAATTAGCGCTTTTGTAATTAATTGTATGCAAGGGATGGGATGCTGATCAACTAAGCTGGTTCAATGCCCCAGCTATTTAGGGGGAGCCACTCAATTTCACGCCCAGGTGTTGTCAATTGCTGGGTTTCCAGTAACAGCTTTTTAATACGGCTCTTGATAATTGAGATGGGGGAGGAAAGGTCGGAAAATTTACTAGAGCCAGGGACCATGACATTGTTTTCATTAGGAGTGCATTTGTCGAATATTTTATCAACCAAACTGTTCCATATAGTCGTACCTTTGAAGACAAAATTGTGTTTAGAAATGTCAAGTTTGTGTCGGGGGACCCGCATAGTTTGGCTATATGTTCTGGAACTTGTTTGGAATAAACTTGTCAGAGAGATGGGTTGATGCAGTTTCAAAATTTTAAACAGTTCAGTGGATATATGTTGGGTGTTATACAGGTTGTGGATTGATATGATTTTCTCGGTATTGAATATTGGCTTTGTGTTTTCCAAAGCAAAGCTCCTTTTTGCGATGTGTTCACTGTATGGTCTTGCACGTGCACATGTTTCATAGTACTCTGCCCGGTCAAAGCTTGGTTTGCTTCCAAATAGAAGGCGTACGCATCTTTTTTGGATGGAGAACAGTTTAGATAGTCTATGAGGTGTGACACCACCCCAGCTACTGATACAGTAGCTCATATGAGACTTGAATAAGGAGTCATACAGTTTATGGTACTCTGTTTCTGGAATAAACTTCATAATACGTTTAATTATAGCTATTCTTGTAGTTAGTTTACATTTTATATTATCTAGTTGGGGTTCCCAGGATAGTTCATGGTCTGTGATAACACCAAGGAATCTCACCTTATCTACTCGTGTAAACGTGGTGCCTGATAACGTGAGTGAGTTCTCAGAGCCATATTCACGAGCACGTGCACAGGACGAGTACCGGCCAGGTCTGAATAACATGTAGACCGATTTGCTTTGGTTAATGTGCAGCAAGTTAGATTCCATATAGTTATTTACAGATTCAAGTACTTTATTAGCATTCAAATAGGCTTCTTGTTCAGATTTTCCAGCAACAAATATGTTCGTGTCATCTGCAAACAGTATGAAGTGTCCAAGTTTGCTAGAGTTAGTAATGTCATTAATTTAGAGTAAGAAGAGGAGAGGGCCTAGAACTGATCCCTGTGGTACCCCATATTCAATTTTGCAGTGATCAGAGTGTGTATTTTGGAAATCAACATACTGCTGTCGGTTACACAAATAGCTTTCAATTAGGTCAAGACAGGGCCCTCTTATGCCATAGTGTTCAAGTTTGACAAGTAATTTTCTGTGGTCGATTGTGTCAAACGCTTTGCTTAAGTCAATAAATATGCCGATTACATGATTCTTACTTTCTAGGTTTTTAAGAATGTGGTCAATGGAGTAATTGATGGCATGTGCCGTTGAGTGGTTGGATCTGAATCCAAACTGTTTATCGTATATGACCATATGAGAAGTAAAGAAGCTATATAGTCGGCAGTAAATTACTTTTTCAAATATCTTACCAAAGATAGGTAGTTGGTATACGATACAATAATGTGACGTGACATGATGTGCGCATTGTTTTTTTTTGTTTTTTTTTTAAATAAAAAAAAAATTATAAATATGCAACCTACTAGTACTAAAACCAATGGGGCCCTCCCCGGGGTCATTCCTCTCGCATTTGCGAGAGTCGTCCCAACGGTGTAAAAGGATGTCAGGATTTGTTCCCACCAAGCTCTAACATCGGCCTTCACTGAAAGTGAAGGTAAGTTTTTTGAGAGTGGAGGCCGACCGTCAGCATGGGATGCAGGGCCAAGTGGGAAACAACGTCAAGGCCACTTCCTACATGGGCCATGTTGGTTTTGGCAGATACGGGTCCGGGACTCTAGGGCGTAAGACTCTAGGGCGTAAGACTCTAGGGCGGCGCCCTACAAAACAGGACTCTAGGGCGTGAAAAATCTTGGGCGTGAAAAAAAACAGGACTCTAGGGCGTGAAAATTTTTCTAATTTTCTGCGTCTATGAAGTCAGCTTCGTGGTTGTGTGGAATTGCAGGTGTCTCCGTGAGGCTCAAACCCTTGGTTCAGATTCACCCCTTACAGGATCCGGCTTTCTTTACACATCTCCAAAACTGTGACCCATCTTTTCTTAATTTTCCATCTGGAGAGTACCGGAATCCTAGGTGCAGTGCGTTCTTACTCTTGGCCGTTCTTCCTCTGATTAAAGTAAACGAAAGATCGGACATAGTGTAGTAGGAAACGAATGATAATGAATTAATGATGGGATAGATCATAGATCACTAGATCATGTTTTTATTGTTATTGTTTTGATTATAAACATCTTTCTTTACTGTACAGGGTGTGTTGGTGAGCTTTTATAATTTGACAATAAAATGTTGGTGACTGACAGCTTCCCACGCTTCCCACCTCTAAGACACTAGCTATCAGTATTGTTTACATTTAAAGTTTATCATTATGTATGGGACCGGGACTCTATATATTATGTATATAATATCAAATATGCATACTATAATAGTACAGTATTGTTTTGAAATAAGTTTAATCCGCTTTCGTTATGCTCAGTCAGTGTTACATTTCATTGGCTGTATCTTACTCTTAGGTCGAGATAAATACTCCCTGTGAACCTGTGACAACGGACATCCTTATTAAAAATGAAATTAGATTCATTTTGATCGAAAATATAAAAATTATATTTCACGCCCTAGAGTCCTGTTTTTTTCACGCTTTAGATATTTTCACGCCGTAGAGTCCTGTTTTGTAGGGCGCCGCCCTAGAGTCTTACGCCCTAGAGTCTTACGCCCTAGAGTCCGGACCCCGGCAGATACTGTGGTAATAAGATATGAAGGGAATGAGTGAAATTAAATGAAGTGAGTCAAAAGGGTGTAAGAGAGGAGGAGTTTGTAAGGTAATTTAGGAAAGGAAGGAAGCGCATGATGTGCGCATTGTTAACATGAAACAAAACCACGAAAAATATGAAGTGATCTACAACTGCAAACCACATACACTTACAGATCGACGGCGACACCTAAGATGCGCGCAGAGTATTTCAAGTTCTGCACGCTTAATATAATATGAACGATTATCACGTGCGCCAAACACCACTCTGGGATGCAATACAAGTAGAACAATTACATCGTAGGGAAATTTGATCGTGCGTGGTATACCCGCGTCAAAATTCTTGTTATTCAATCTTTCAATGAAACAATAAACTGAAGTAAAAAAGTAGTCAATAAAAGTTTGTAAACTGAACAAACGTTTTCGGATCAGCAAATGGCACTCCAGTTCCACTACTCCAAGCCACCCCGATGAGGGGAAATATGATCGGGATACCCCATCCAAACACACTGTACTTCAACAAAGCATTCCTGGTGTACGTTCCAAATACCTTGACTAAAGCGTTGTACAATATCACAGCTTCTACAATCATCCAACTAAGCTGACACAACCAGAAGTAATTCAAAAGAAACGCCACCTAAGGTTAAGAATCTTAACATTAGTTAGAATTTTACCTTACAAAAGAACTGAAATTAGGTGAAGATAACTTATAATGGGATGCTATTATAATACTAGTTTTATGTGGGCATACTTATATGTGGGCAAAATCGATTACAAACCTCTCCAGTATCCTGCATCTCTGAATCAACTTACTATGGAACAAGAAATGTTAGGTTTGGCATTCCCCTCTGCTGCTACAAAAGAATCCATCAGGAAGAAACAAATTATAGAAATAGTAAGAGCCAAGACAAGCATTAAATTCGCTTGAACTTTCTTCTTCCTCATATATTTCCTGAGAGAGTATAAACTAACATTGATCAGTATTAGAACTAAATTTCTATAACACAAGGCAAATTTGTATTCCAATATCGCTGCCATCACTGTGATTAACGTTTTCTTAATTGTTAATTGATTGTACACAGTAACTGGGAGTACTTGTTGGGGATGATTGCAGCAAGGGTCAGTAAAAGAAAGAAGAGACTCATCGCTAGCAGAATATGTGAAACGAGCTCTTCTAAAGAGTTTTCCTCGCTCGTAAACGACTGTGAGATGGTTGGTAGTCATTATTAATCAAATAATATCTGTAGTTCATAATAAACATGATTTAATTAAGTAGCTTTATTTTTTCGGATAGGCTTTCAAAATTTGTTAAAATCTATGATGACCAATTTGAATCACTTTAAGTTTGATGACACGTTAAACTATTTGATCTAATAACTTATTTACCATGAGGACGGCAAAACTGGTCAGATGATAACATGAACACATTACTTCTGTTCCTCTTCTCTCTCCATTGTAGCTTGGATTAGTGATGCAACCTTTAACACTCCAAACTGAAATTCAATGCCGTGAAATAAACGTTACGGTCATAATTTGCTCGCTCTCTGAGAGTCTAAAGAAAAATTTGAGCAAATGTGATTCTCAACTTATTTAGGTTAGGACCTGCTGTTGTTGTGTCGTAGAATTTACATTCCAGTTTGCTGGTGACTGTAGTTTTCCGTTTTGTAAAACTATGTACTTTCAGCTCGGTTTCATCCTGGTTGGATTGAGGAAATATTCAGGTAAGCTAAAAGAAATACGCGAGGTGCATGACGGATGACCCTTTATCTAAAATGTCAACACAACTAGGAAGCGAGCTGCATGACTCTGTATCTAAAGTGTCAAGTACTAGGAATGATGATAATTTTCCAACCTTGACGTTGAATGTTATGTTAATGTCTATCTGGGACAAAATCTCATCGTTTTGCACAACATTGATATCAGAAATGACTGTAGCCACAATCGAAACCTGAAAAGATAAATAGGAAATTTTGATCAGCATGCAATGATTTTTCACCTTATTATTAGTATTAAAACCATTACTCAAACTTGACATGACTCATTATCACATACTCACAGTTACAGTTCATTGTCAAGAATAGCATGGGATACGAATCTGGTACTGGTATAAAATTTGAGATAAATTGCAGAATTATTTTTTAATCGAGGCTATGTGAGATTCAAAATTGTGCTAACTGCAATAAAATGTACCTTTTTATCATCATCGTCATTGCTCTTCTTAAAGTCAGGGCTTTTCGCTATTTCCTTTGCAATTTTTTCAAACGAGTCCTCGTCTGCAGAAGAAATTGCACTGGATGGAAATACTTTGTCCGTTCCATAGTATACCGCTGTTAAAACCTGATCCTTCGCCAAATTCATCTCTGCCTGTCGAAGAATGAGTTGAAAACTATCCGCGGTAGATTAGCAATTCCAATAGCATGACATTTGCCATCAGTATTATTACAATTCTCAAGAATAGTCCACTTATTTCAATGGCTTTGTTTGTTATAGTGCACCGATTTAGAATTGGTGGTTTTTAAGATTCTCAGTAAGGTCAGGTCGGCCAATAAAAATACTCATAAACATCAAATCAATCATTACCGGACCACTTTTATTCGATTTCGATTCTACCGTCAAAAATACGTAAGGTAAAATGAAATATGTTTAGAGTTCATGGCGTAAGTAGATATAATATAAGTAAAGTACTCGTCACTTAATTGAATCAGTAACGGTCCCCGTTGTGCAGGTGCTGTGGGTATGTTGAGTACGGTCAGTGCTAAATTTTGTACAGAACCCCAGGTTTATTGGGTAAATTGAGTACGTTCAGTTTTAAATTTTGTAGAGTTCCATAGGTTGTGCGAGTGCTGTGGGTACGTTAAGTACATTCAGTGCTAAATTTTGTACAGAACCCTAGGTTTATTGGGTAAATTGAGTACGTACACAGTTAAATTTTGTAGAGTTCCATAGGTTTATAACATAAAAACCAATTTATTGTTTAAGAATTGTTCAGAGCATGATATTAAATGTGTTATAACACTGATTCTAAAATCTACCGTCATATTCACTCTGTAACCTGTACAAATGCTACAAAACTCTTCACATACGTTATGTCACTGGTAAGCTATATTCTTTATTTCATTTACCATTCTGAAGTGCTCATAACTAAATTACAACTCCTGCAGATCGTTCCTCAGGAATTTGAGGTGAATTTAGATCATCCATGTGCTATTTCATTACCTGTTCCGTAGGAGCATATAACCAAATTACAATCACATCACCTATTGTTCAAGAATCTGGGGTGATATGAGATCATAAATTTCATCCATCCAGCGCATACGGTTGAAATCACGTGAACCAGCACCTGGAATGACTCATAAACAGTTAACATGTAAACTATGATAATAACGTCAGAGTTCAAAGTCAATTATGCTGCGGGGTTATTGTTAAAGAATTTAAGGCGATATGAGATCATAAAGCGTGCAGAATCACTGCTGGGCTTTTAACATGTTTCCTATGATAATAACGTCACAGTTAAAAGTCAATTATCCTATAACGAGTTTATAGTGAGGTACACTAGAATCTAGTATAAATATGAGGCTTCTCCTCCAAGTAAAATCATTCCCAATGGGGGCTTAGCAGCTCCGGATCTCAATGATAGCTCTTCATTCTATGATGAACTGCTGTCTTAGAGATCCACTCACCCAATTCCTCCCTCCCTCCCTCCCTCATCATAGCTTGCGTTTACAAAACTCAAAAATATTTCAAAATTGCTGTGGTATAGTTGATAGTAAGAGTTCATTTAGCGAGATCTGAGCCTATCTCCAGTGCCATGAGTCAGCTATATCACAGATTGGGGTTGGCTCTCAAGAAAAGACGTAATCAGGAGAGTATTCTCTCCACACTTGTCAAATGTATGTGGGGACTCCCACTAAAATGAGTTATGTAACGCACAGTTATGATAATGGAGACCTTTTCTATGTCCATCTGTAATTATACGCTATGTGCTAGCTTCACTCACTATCAGAGTAAAAGTCTATAAGGATAAAAAAACAAGTGATACACAGTGTTTCATGATGAAGCTAAAAAGTATTTTATCAAGTCCACATCACAAAATAAACTGTAATATTTCGCATGCGTTAGTTTAAAAGAAAAAAATGAGCGCTTAATTCATAATTTATATCCTTCAAGTCTTCGAGCCAAATATCTAGCTTTTGCAAGTGAACAATATCTGTAACGGTGTAATTTAAAACAACCCGGATTATCGAGCTGTGCTGGGTACTTGAAGTCAAACAGAGAATAAACATCAATAACTTCAGTATCTGGTAGGTTTCTAGCAAAGAAACAACGTTCAATTTCTCCTGCACAGTATATTCTACAATGCTGTATCTCCTCAAGTATTTTAGGATATACCGCCGTAGGGAGGCAACAACTTTCGTTATCGGTTGGTGAAAAGCCATTCAAATTCCGCTGAGAAAACTTTGCCATGTTCATCTCATCTGGATTCAGGTACATGGTATCTGGATTCTTGAATTGAAAATGCTGCTCCTGCTCATTTGGAAATATGAGAGTGAGTTCTCTGAGTATAAATCCTCCATTCTGAGTACTGAAACCCTCGGTAGCTGTGATAACGAATTCAAAGTTCATCTTTCAGAAATGATGAGATCTTTTCAGGACAGAGTCTTTATTGAAGATGACATGTGATTATCATGTGACGGGGAACTCATTACTAGGATTAACATGTCTTGAGCGACTGGGGAAGTATCGGCGCAAATTCATGAAGCGATATCCAATGTTCCGTTCAGATTCTTGCAGCCCCATCTTTTTTCACTTTCTTAAAAGCTCTGTCTATGAAAGAATGGTTGAATTCGTTAATGTAACGTCCGTAGAATACTATTTCTGCTGAGCACATTTGCAACCACAGACGGCCAGCATTGACATAATTATTTTTGTCTTTCAAAGGGTTATCACTGTGGGGTAAAAGCTCTTGCACTTGATCGTAATAAACTTCTATATCCGTTAACATGGGTCCTCTTACGTGCTCAAAGTGAATTTGCAGCTTCTCTAAAAGTCCACGTTGATGACAAATGTGTAACAGAGGGCTCTTTATTTTTGATTCACACGCTGAGCACTTGAGAGCAGACATTTGTTCACATTGTCGAGCAATCTGCTCAGCAAGAAATCCCAAGTATACATCATGAAAATAGTTCATAGCTGCAGATTCGGAAGTGCTAATCAAGAAGTGAGCAGTGTAAACAGATTCAGCTGTTTTTAAAACTCATAGTCACAAATGTAATAGACTAAATTTTGATATAAAATTGAGTCTATGTTGCTACAGTCTGCAAAGAGTTGTTCTTGAACAATAGTTGACTTGCAGTTTTGATACAGATCCAAGTAACAAAATGGCTGAGTGTTCAAGAAAACACGCTTGATAAAGGATTCCATTATAAATTCATAAACGTATTTTCCAGGGCAAACATGTCTTTTGCTGCTTTTTTGCAAACAATATCGGCAAAGCTTGTTCTTTTTGGTGTTGGCATTGTGATCCTGTGTGTAACCTTTTATGGTCATGACTTTGATTTTTGTACTTCGAGCATCTGCTTCCATTTTTTGAGTAGAGTCCATACATTGACAGCACAAACAGAGGAGCAACAAAGTCCATAATGAATTTTGAGAAATGAACCTGTTTCCCACTTATCCTGCTTATATATTCGATATTTGATGCGAATCTCTGGAACAATTAAAACACAACTCTACTGAATAGATTTGTAAAATGCATGCACAATCTTATCATTTTTTTCAAAATCTTTGGTATATTCAT